GACGTGTTTGAGAGAGGCGGGGCATAGAGGACCTACAATAATGTACAGTATTTGAAAAATAATGTGTTTTTTGAACATTAAAGCATGGCAACATATTCTGTTACACCAAATACACAAAATAATGATCTTTAAAATAGCATCATATGACCCCTTTAAGAGAAAAGTAGGAAGAGAAATGACAGTTTAGTTGATTGTGTGTTCCAGCGATGCAGTGCAAAGTGGAGTTGTTGTTCGTTCTCGTGCTGCACGTCTCATTGCGTTCCTGGAAATCGACAGACTTTTAAAAAATGCCCAAGTCTGCCCGTCTTATTTCTTTTTGTCATTCCATTGTCTCACTTTATTCATCTTCTCCCTCGCTGACATTCCTCCTTAATAATGGATTCACAAGAAATTGTGGTTTATTGCTGGTCACGGTCTGGTTTGTTTTCCTCAGACTTCGTTCTAATAAAATTGCAATATGGATGATGCACTCAGTGACTTTTAAGAAGTTCCTCTCAAACAGACACGAGCGCATCAGCAGGAGCAGCGCTTTCAGCAGTAATTTGCTGGTGGCAGTCTATTTTTTTTTTCTTAGTCTTCATTCTAATCAAATTGTAATAGGGATTATTCAGTCAAGGATTTCCGAAGCTCCTCCCCCACCCTCACAGTTCCCCTGTTAATTACAAGACAAAGTAAATACAGCAGCTCTATCTATCTATCTATCTATCTGTCTGTTGTTCTATCTTTCGTTCTGCCTGTCTTTTGTTGTCTCTATCATTTTATTAGTTTCATTTATTTATTTAATTTATTATTTATAAATTCGGTGAACAACGGCTCTGTGTAGTTAATGCTGCTCAATGTGAAAGCCCGCAGGTGATGGAGATTTACCGCTGATTACAGAACCGGCTTTACTGACAAGATGCGCGTTAAATAATCGCATGCGATTTATCGTGCAGCCCTAAATTGAACAAGATTGCAATACAGATGATATACTCAGCGATTTCTGAAGTTCCTTCATGTTCAGCATTTTATGGTTTGTTGAGAGACTCTACTCGCATAGGAAAAAGTGGGACAGCACAAACATAAAATTGCAATATGGATGTAAACATTTCACAATAAATTGTAAGTTGTTTGTTTAGAGACTACTGAAATTAAATAAACACAAACTCAAAATTAGCAGTTGCGCCAGAAATTCGCTGCTTGCACTTTTTTCTTTTTTTGGTCTATATTTGTTTTTGTCTTGTCTTCCTAAAGTCTTCATTCTAATAAAATTTGAAAACATTTTCTCTTCCTGCCCTTGATGTTTCTCATTTAATTGTAAGTCGTTTGTTGAGAGATTCAACAAACAAACAAGCCGCAAGGCACAAGCTAAGACCCAAAATTTACCCAGGCCAAATAAATGCACTGCAAATGTAAGAACCAACCAATAGAGGAAGCATGCGAGACAAATTAGGATCTAGTCTAAGACGTGAGCAGACGACTTAAGGAACAGCGTGCAGCTGATTGCAATATATTTTCAGGATTGCACGATATACGACAGCTCTTTGTTTAGACTTATTTGTTTTAGGTTGCCTGATCTATGCAATAAATCCCACAGATATATGCACACACACTGAGCAAAACCCTCTCGCTCACTAGAACATTGATAACAAATGCTCTTGTTAAACAAAAACGATCGCTGAAGGTCTCATGCTGTGTGGCTATCAGCTTTTATCAAATAAAGAGTTAGTTTTTTTCGTTTGTTCGTCTGATCTCTCTAGCTCGATCCTGCTGTTGAAATACTGGTGTTTTTAAGAGTGTCCAATATTGTCTGAGAACCCCTTTCAAGTTCTCTGTGTGAGAGCTTTCATGCATTACTGTGGCTCACTGCCCGGTTTCATCAAGAATCTGTTTTATATTAGAAATGTATGTGTGACTACATGCGGGCGTGCATGCGATGAGCACATCTGTTTCTTTACAAGCACTGGAAACAGAGTTAATCTGATCCCTCCGAAATAAACTGAAATTCACAGAAAGATTACCATTGTGACTTTGCAGATCAGACGTGCATTAGAAATGTCAGCCCTGGTGGACAGCAGCAGTACTGCACTGTCATTTCCATCCAAACACACTCAATCTTCCTGTCCTTTCTTATCACTCCCAATCGTCATACCTCATTTCAAGAGCGTTTTATTGGCACGACAATGGACAAAGTTTCAATAAAAAGGTTTGGTGATGGCAGTCCCCCTCTCGTCTATCTTTCTCCGTCTCTCTCCCCTCTCTCTCTCCCCTTCTGTCTCATCAGTCGCTCTTGAGAGCAGTGGGACTTACTAATTTTAGCATACCCACCCCAGCAGCAAGTCTTAGCAAGCTTTGCCTGTGAATACCTCATCAAACTGAGCCGCACTACAAAGAACCTTATCACTCCAGCTTTAAATGTCTAACTGCAAAGGGAAAGATAAGGAGTGGTGGTGTATTAGTTCTCAAAGGGGTTTACTGGTCCGGGGCGCTAATGGTGGACATCACAATGGTGTTGGAACAGAAAACAAAACAAAAAAAAACGGATAAATATCTCTTTCCACACCCAATTTGGGCCACTTTCAAATGTGGTTTTAAACGAAGTGCAGCTGGTATCTGGCATGTGGTCATCTGACCTACATACCAGAGTTGTGCAAAATTCTGAATTTCAACTCATCAGTTGGAATTTTAATTGAAATGGCTGCAATCTACAGTGCATTGCAATTCAGCACACCCCTGCTATGAACACTTTTATCTGATTCTCCTCAGAATTCAGATTTTATATTTTTATATAGAGAGATTGGGTCTAAAATCCTGATTGGCGTTCAGTGAACCTATGGAAATGCCCGTGTATGAATCATGGGAGCACGTTTGCCACCATTGGTGAGCGATAAGAGCAAGAGCGCTTGATTTTATATGTATTTATTTCAGAAATGTTCAAATCCGCTGCCTCTGCATGTCAAACAACATAACCCTATTACAGTAATCCTTCGTCATAGTCACACAGCCTGTTTTATGTAGTTACCAGCTGTTTGGGAAACCAAATGCTCCAAAAGCGGATCGAACCGTGCTACTGAAATGATCCGTGTGATGCTGACCAGCATCTGTGTGACCCGCTCAACATCTTTATACGTGTAATCACTGTAAACAGTCGGCTATGTCCAGGCGCAGATAGAATATGCACATGTTATTTGTATTTTCTGTGCTGATTTTTATGGGAGAAAATCTGCATGTTTAAACATAGTAAATTGTTAAATGAGGCTGAGAGAACTAGAGTCTTATTGGTGCCTGGAAGAAAAATTTAATTAGCTAAATAAACATTGGGGGTGAGAACAGTTCTGTGAGGGTCTGATGATGTCTGAAATAAATATAACCAAATGAGATAAACATATCTATCTATCCATCTATTAGGGCTGCACGATTATGACAAAAATCATAATTGTCGATTATTCCCTTGAAATTGTAATTGCGATTATTAATTACGATTATCACAATTTACATTTAATGATTGTTTGATGCAACTGCATGCCGTATTTTTTTTATGAAAATAAACAAGCTGAAAACACTCTAACTGAAAAACCTTTAGTGCTTTTCTATAGTATTAAGCCTCAAATGTCAAATATACATCGGATTGGTTTCTTCTTTAAATTATAAAAAAGTAAAAATATGAATGGTATTCTAATGGTATTCCCACAAATATGATTGTAGGTGTCTCTTGCTTGTTTCAGATCAACCTTTACCAGCACCAACCAGCAACACTGGGCCAGTTGTCGGGGGCATCATTGCCGCCATAATCATCTTGTGCTTGATCGGCGCTGGTGTGGCCTTGTACCACAAACGCCGCCAGAGCATGCAGAACGGAGAGTGAGTGTGAACGCGCACCCACAAACACAATCACACATTCATGTCAAACATCCATTTTCTGCTCTCTCTTTCTCTCCTGGCTAGAACATGCAAGCTATTTTTGTGCCTTTCATTCTCAATGCATCTAAATTGGTGCGTTCACGGTATAGCATGCATGCGCAACACGGTTATAGCTAAACATCTCGTTGTATCTCCTTTCCAGATGCCCCCCCAAACACAAGCCGCCACCTCCGATGAAGTCTGGCAGCTCGACAGCAATGGTGAGCGGACTTTTCTCCATCAGTCACCTCTCAGCGCTCACATCTGACATTCTCTTTCAACTCGGACGTACTGAGCTTTCTTCATTATACAATGTTGAGATGACTTACAATTCTCCAGGCTACACGCCGCAATTAAAGCAGAGCTGGTGAAAGGATAAGCATATGCATAAGCCACCATAAAATAGATCTTTGAATTCAAACCTTTGAAGAACAAGCTTAGTTCTGGGATGGGGAGGAAATTCGTATTGCTCAGAATAGGATAATTGCATTTTTCTCTGGCTAATGATTATTTCCTGTTCTCTCGGTTGGTACTGGACTGCATTTGAAACAGATTTGTATTGTGAAGTACAAGCGGAGCGAAGAGAATGAGAATTCCTAATGCTGCCCTCGGGCCACAGTCAAGAAAGAAAGGGTTAACATGGGGGTAATGTGTATTGACTGAAGCTTAATGTAGAATGTGTGGGTGGAGCTAAATTTGTGTGTGCGTACATGTTTGTGTGTGTGTGCGCACAGGCAAATGAACGTGTACATCATAGGCATCTTTCATCTCCGCTGCCCTAAAAATCTGTGATTAATTCAGCTGTCAGCACCCCTAAAATATGTGATTATGAGATCTCTCTTCACGTTTGCTGAAAATAGCAGCAGCAGTAAGAGGTTATTTCACTCTAAATACTGCCTTTGACAAGTTAAAAACTTTTTGATTAGCTTTTTTTTTATCTTTAAATGGTCATACACGACTATCCAAAAAACTTGGGTTAAATGTTTTTAAATTTTTTTAAATTACTACTTTTATTCAGCAAGGATGCATTAAATTGATTAAATGTGAGAGTTGAGACATTTGTAATGTTTCCAATAATCATTCTTTTGAATGTTCTATTCTTCAAAAATCCTAAAAAAAACAACAACAAAAAAAACACTGTTTACACAAATATTAAGCTGCACAACTGTTTTTGTCACTGATAATAATAATAAGAAATGTTTCTTGAGCAGCAAATCAGGATATTAGAATGATTTCTGAAAGATCACGTGACAGTGAAGACTGGAGTAATGAAGCTGAAAATTCAGCTTTGCATCACAGAAATAAATTATATTTTATAATATATTAAAATAGAAAACAGTTATTTTAAAATATAATAATATTACTGTTTTACTGTATTTTTAATCAAATAAATGCAGCCTTGGTGAGCAGAAAAGACTTAGTTTATTTTAAAAAGTTGGTAGTTGGACAAGATTCCAACTTCTGAAATTTCAAACAATTGATATTTCTGTCATTTACTCAACCTTCTGTCATGTTCCGTCAAACCTGTGTGACTGACTTTCATCTGTGGAATACATAAGATATTTTAAAGTTTTTTTGCCCAAACAATGAATGTTATTTCTTCCCCATCGTTCATCAAAATATCTTCTTTTGTGCTCAGCAGAAGATAAAAAGTCTTTGGAATGACTTAAGGATGAGTAAATGTGATGCGATCTGGAAAAACCCGTCGGATGTTGCGCTGGGACGTTTTCAGGAAATTCGTAAAATAGGTCGAATGTAAATTTTTTTTGTCAAAATTTGGTTTATTAAATTATTATTCTATAACATTTTGCCTATCATCTCTGAAAATATCTTGGCAAAATTCACTTGTTTAGTGCAGAAAAATAGCGATTTATTGCAGCAAGCAGAAATGACTGTGTCTTTCTCTTGTTACGAACGCGCTGCGGAGGTGCTTTCTCATAACACCACAAAAACAGTTAACCTATCAAAATAAACCACGTAACATAT